TTCACAGAAGTTATATGGACCAGAGTTTTTTACTTACAATGTTCACTGCCTGGTTCATTTACCAGATGATGTTAGTCAGTTTAGTGCATAGACGAAATAAGCACCTTTCCTTTTGAAAATTACTTACAAAGTGTTAAAAACTTCATTACCACTTGAACAAGTTATAAAACAAGTTTCAGAAAAAATGCTGTTTCTGATGAAAATACAAAAAATGATTACCCTATATGTAAATATGAGCATAACAATGGTCCAATAATATGGCCTGAGTTGTTTAATGTCATTCAATATAAGAGTATTAAACTTCAATCATATATGTTTTCATTAACAAAAAATAATAACTGTGTACTTTTGAATACATCCAAAGTTGGAATTCTTCAAAAAATTATTAAGAAAGATTTAGATGTATACATAGTTGTAAAATTATTTTGGAACACAAACTCATTTTATGAATATCCTTTAGACTCAAAATTGTTAAATACATTTAAAGTGTTTCAAGTTGAAGATAAAACTTCTATATATAGCATAAATGATGTACTTTCAAAATGTGTGTATTTACCTACAAATGAAAGTGAACACCTCATTATATCTTTTTTGTGAAAAAATTGATTATATAACTTTTTGTGAAAAAATTTGATTATATAACTGAATCGGGTAAGTTTTTTGTTTATTAAAGCATTTAATCTTAATATATTTAGATTATATTGTATTGTTCACTTTCTGGACACTGATGAAGTGGAAATTGCTCCTAAAACCTGGATTAAATATACTGATGTTGATGAACATCTTGAATGTTATTGGCCGTGCATTGATGTTGAAACTGATAAATGGAAGAGTTACAAAGCAAGAATTTTGAAAAATTATGGTACTTTTTTGTAATGTTTTGTCTTTATATTTGTTATAAAGAGAATTCGACTATGATTTTTATTTAATATTTATTTCAATATTTTCATATTAAATTATCATAACTAGTTTGAATATAAAACTCTGTATAGTTTCGCGTTGAAACTTCAACTGTAACTAAATTCAGCGCACTGGCTTTTAAGCAAGAATTCTTCAGGCAGAATTCTCTCAAAGGAATACTTTCGTTATAAGTTTTTGTACAAATTCGCAAAGGGGAATTGCTTGTTTTGCAATCGCTGATTGCTATTCTGAATTGCTTTGCGTAACAATCATTACACCTTCCTTCTTTTAAAAATGCATTTTGTAATCAATGTAATGTTTTGGCTTCCTCAAAATTCTTCCTGATCGCGTGACAATAATGTCGTGGTCTAATGATTCATTTTGATTTGTATTTGGATCAATGTTTGTGTTATTCAACAACTTTCTTTTACCCACAAGTATGTCTTTTGATTCATTCATATCCCTTTCATTTTCCGATAAATTGACATACCAATTTACTTCTTCTTTTGTTTTTAGTAGATGTCTTCTGTTTCTTCTAACAATATTTCCATTTAGGGTTTTTACATTGAAACTTCGTTGCTCTTTGCTCTCAACAATTTTTCCTGGTTGCTATTTATTTTCATCATGTATACGAACACAGTCTCCATCGCTTACGTTTTTCAATGTTTTTGCGTTTTTGTTATAATATTTCTTCTGTAAGTTTTGAACTTTTTCACGATTTTTCTTATTTTATTTATTTACATCGATTGGATTTAATTGAAGTAGTGACAGAGAAGTAGGAAGTGTTGATCTCAATCTTCTTCCATTTATGAGCTGAGCAGGTGATGCAAGACCATCAACAGTAGTGTTTTTTACCTCTAGTAGAGCTATGTACAGATCTTGATTTGACCTTTTTGCTTTGATTAGCAAGTTTTTTGCTATTTGAACATGTGTCTCAGCCATTCCATTTGATTGTTGATACTGAGGGCTACTAGTTATATGTTTAAAATTGTGTGCCGTTGTCACTCCGTACTATTTGCGGTATACCAAGTCTGGAGAAGATCATTTTTAGTTTCTTTATCATCGTTTGAGATTGAATGTTATGTAACCTTCCGATTTCCCAATAATGACTTTAATAGTCAATCACTATTATAAAATCCTGATTATTCCAGTAAAATAAGTCCGTTCCCGCAATTTTAAACGGGTGATTTGGTATTTCGCTTGATATCATTAACTCCTTAGTTTGTTTTTTTGTGTATTTCAGACATGTTTCACTTGACTTTACTAAATCTTCAATTTGTTTGTTAATGCCTGGCCATAATGCAGTTTCTCTTGCTCTCATTTTAGTTTTTTCAATCTTCATGTGTGCTAGATGCAGTTTTGGAAATATTTCTTTCCACATTGATGTTGGAATTAAAACTCTTTGTCCTTTGAAAACTATTTCTTCTATGAGTGTCAGTTCCTTTTTAAACGGCCAATAGGGTTTTACTGAGTCTTCGACCTTTCTTTTATCCAGCGGCCATCCATTTGTTATGTATTTCGCTACTAGATTTAACGTAATATCTTTGAGCGTGTTTGTTTTTATTTTGTTGAGGTTTTCTTTTGATGATGAACAGTTTGTGTAAACCATATGCATTTAAGCGATCATTTGATCTTTTGGGATTTCTTCTTCAGTTTTTTTATTACATTTATTTTCTTCAATAATTTTATTAGCTTCATTCATGTTTACAGTTTTTACTTCGTTTGATAGCTTTTAAGTCTTGTAAAGTTTGTAAGCTAAGAACGAGTTTGCTTATTGTTTCAACTACATAAAATTTAACCAACTTTTTACAACTTTTGTAGTAACACATCATATTTGATGTCCCAAGCACTGGAATATGATTTCCTCCATAACCACGTAGTTTAACATTTGTATAAGCTAACATCACGTGATGTTAGTTGGTCATAGACTCTTTTTGGCATAACATCACCTTCAGCTTCAGTGTCAACTTTTCCATGCACCAATTTATTATTAATTTAAAAGATTATCAAAGCTTCATTTTTACCATCCATTTCACCAGATGATATTCCACATGGTATTCTACAGCACAATTTTCGTGTATGTTTTTCAAGTTGCAGCAAGTTGCCCAATGATTTATTTTATTACATTTACGGCACGTTTGACCGAATGCAGGACAGTTTCTTGGTTCATGTTTTCTATTGCATTTCTTGCATATTTTCTATTACATGTCATGTTTTCTATTGCATTACTTGTTTTTGTTGTTTTTTGTTGTTTTTTATTTGAGCCATTACTGATTTGTTTCCAGTTTTGTTTGTTTGGTTCAATCCGGCCTTTACCTTTTGACTCATTTTCGTTATTCGAGAACTTTCTCCATTTTGGTATTTGTTTGATTGACGCATTTGCTTGTCTTGGTTTAATGAATTTCTTTACCACATCAATATCTTTTTTGTATGTAATTTGTTTCATTTCTGCATTTGCAACTTCTTCAGCTCTGCATATGTCAATCGTTTTAGTTAAAGTTAAATCCGCCCTTTTTCTAAGTAGATTATTTTGGACTTTGTTTGATTTGATTCTTCAAATTATTTTGTATAATATCAGACCATCTTGAATGTTTTCAAACTCGCATGTTTGAGCCAGATTTTTTAAATCAGTTACAAATGATTCATTGATGTCTTGTTTTCGTAAGAAAAACTTTCTTTGTTCCAAAACCAGATTTCTTTTCAGTAAACAGTATTCTTGGAATCTTTCAAAAAGTTCTTTTACCGTGATGTCATCGATTTCACCGTCGTCGTTTTCTGTTTTGTTCCAAGTCCACGTATTGAATATTTCTCTTCCTTTTTCACCGATCACAAATAAGAATGTCGCGTATTTTTCTTCCTCAGATTTATTTGCTGCTTTTAGATACAACTGCATAGTTTGTTTCCATTTTTTCCATGTTACAGCTACAGGCTTTCACAGGAAGACGTGCAATTTCACGTCTTTATATGACCACACAAGTTACATTTTGCTATGACAGTTTGACCATGGCTAATTCAAAAAACATTTTAGAAATGCGCTAAATAAAAAATATTCTAAAAAAGTGAAATTAATTACATCAAAACTTCTTAACAAATGTTTTTATATTAGCAAAACAATTTTAAATAAAGTAACAATTTACTGAAAAAAAGTTTTGTTTTTTAAATATAATTGACAGTTGTATAAATATTTTTAATTTAACACATATAAATTGTTTAAGTGTTCATTTCTAAAATAAATCTTATTAAAAAATAAAAAATTGTTTTGTTTTTATAAACGCTGACATTCTACGACTACGAAAGTCTCTTTAACGAATTTAAATATAAAGAATGATTAAAGTTAATGCATTTAAAAAGATTTTTAATTCTTCTTACAGGAGACATTTGTTTTTAATTCTTCTTACAGGAGACATTTTTTTTTAATTCTTCTTATAGGAGACATTTGTTTTTAATTCTTCTTACAGGAGACATTTGTTTTTAATTCTTCTTACAGGAGAATATCTTTAAAGTAAATTTTCGTTAAGTAAAGTAAGATTTCGTTAAAAGAAAATTTTTTAGAAAACCGTTAGAATTTAATAAGTTTGATCTTAAATGCTTTTATGTTATCGAAATGCTTTAAATGGAGTAAAAAAAAAACACTTCTAATTAATTAAAAAAAAAAAACACTTCTAATTAATTAAAAAAAAAAGTATTAATAAAATATTTTTTTATTTTATTTATATAACTATGTATTTTTTATGAGAAATATTTAACTTTTGAACATATTAAATAAATAAAAAATATATAAAAATGTTGAAACAAAAATTGAAAAGGTTTTTTAATGCGTAAATTAAAGAGACTAAGCATATATATATATATATATATATATATATATATATATATATATATATATATATATATATATATATATATATATATATATATATATATATATATATATATATATATATATATATATATATATATATATATATATATATATATATATATATATATATATATATTTATTTTTTTGTGTTTTTGCTTTAACTAAGTATTTTTTTTTATTTTCTCTTTCGTTAATATTTAATTTTTTTAAATTTTTTTTCAGATAAGTTTAGGGAGCGCGTTTAAATTTTAAAAATATGCCGTGTTTAAATCGTTAAAACATTGCGTGGTCATATAAAGACGTGAAATCGCACGTCTTCTTGTGAAAGCCTGAGCTATATTGGATTTATTGAAGTCCATTTCGTTTGGCTTTGGCAAAAAGTATTCCATTTTTTTTTTTAAAATAAGTACTTTTCCAAAATCTCTTCTTAAAATGTCTTCAGTTCACTTCTGGTACCATGTAATGTTTTGTCTTTATATTTATTATAAAGAGAATTCGACTATGATTTTTATTTAATATTTATTTCAATATTTTCATATTAAATTATCACAAGTTTAAATATAAAACTTTGTATAGTTTCGCGTCTTCAACTGTAAAATTGTTTCAGTTTTGAAATTTTGTTGAAATATTTTTTAAATTTTGGGTATTGCTAAAAGCTTATTTTTAGGAATTCATATTTGCCTATATCAGAGACTGTTATATACAGTAGTCCAGAAATAAGTTTTTGTTTGCAAAAGGGTAACTTGCAACTAGCTGAACTGAAAAAAAATCTTAAAAAAACGAAAGTCTTGCACAAAAAAGCTAAAAAAAATAAATAAAAAGTTAACTACAGAGAACGAAGATCTTCCTGAGCCACCTGTTTTTTTTCTCACTTAAGTTATAAAACTCCAGAACATGTGGCAAGCAGATCGAGTGGTCTGTCTAGCATTCTGTCATTATTTTCTAAACCTCATGGAAAGCCACTTTTAAAAGAATTTCCATTTTGCTCTTCAGATGGATGGCTGTATTCAGCTGCAACAGGTACATATTCAATTTTTTAAATGCTTATTTTTATTATATCACAATCATAGATTACTTATATATCACATTATAGATTATATATATAGATTACAGAATGTCAATGGTTATTTTGTTTTAACTTTTAATTTATGTTTTACATTATTTTAAAAATTATATTGAAATTTTATTTTAAATAATATTTATAATTATAATATTTCTTTGCCAATGTTAAATTATCTAGCTCACCAGTTCTAATATTTTTTAGCTGTAGAACAGAAACTAATTCTTCTTCTTTAAAAAATTAAAGCGCAAGGAGATGAGCTTAAGGAACAAGGAGAAAAAACTATAAACCTGTTACAGCACCTTGCGAAAACAAACAAGGTAGAAAGTTTAGTAAGAGGATTACCTTTCCGATTGCCAGCAACAACTGTAGAAGAGTTAAACCTTATTAACAATCAAGCTAAAGAAAGCGACATTAAAGGAAGACTGAAGCTCTATTTTATCTTAATAGTTAGTAATATCTATAAACTATTTTTAGTATTAATTAAATTATTAATTATTTTAGTAATACTAATTAAGTTAACAATAAAACATTAAATCAAATCATGAAAGATATGTATATGCAAACCTAATTCAATATTTTTAAATATAATATTGTATTTTATGTATTACATAAATAACTTTTAAAGTAATATTCAATCATTAATTAAAATTTTTAGCTTAATAAAACTTGTTTTTTAAAGTATTATGATAAATTTTACCCTATATCTTTTACTTCCCTTATTACGTAATACTACTTTATATAGACAAGATTTCTTGGATTGGTTGGCGAGCTCAATGTAAAGTTAACTACCAGAGCAGTGCTAAGTCGTTTACTGATCACAAATGTAGCAAAGTTATGTATATGGAAGGGAAAAGGAAATAAGATTGAATTCAGCAAAATGCAATTTGTTGGAATTGTTTGTGGTAAAATTACTTATTTTATATTTGTGATATATAAAATATATTTTGTGGTAAAAATCACTTTCACCAGGTTATTGATAAACCTGGTGAAGGTGAAACAGACTATAGAAGAAATGTATATATATATATATATATATATATATATATATATATATATATATATATATATATATATATATATATATATATATATATATATATATATATAAATATATATAAATATATATAAATATATATATATATATATATATATATATATATATATATATATATATATATATATATATATATATATATATATATATATATATATATATATATATATATATATATATATATATATATATATACAGTGAGGCGCAAAAAAAAAGCCACACTAAATGTTTTTCTTCATTTTAATTATAAAATGTATAATCAAGCAAAACTAAAAAAATTGGATGTTGCAGTAAAAAATTTAGAACAGAATATGTATGTTTATAAATAAACTAATATTTATATAAATAAAATCATTAAAGAACAGATTATTATGGACACATTTAATAATTTAGAAAACATCTTACAGATGTAGAAATTGGACGAATTATTGAAGTTGCTAACCAAGGAGAGTCTCTCAGAAGCATTGGAAAGCGTTTTAAACAAGAAAACTCAACTAGTAGTAGATTGGTAAAGAAATATAAACACACTGGTAAAACTAAAAGGGCTGTTGGATCTGGGAGAAAGCCAAAAACTTAAAAAAAGGAAGATCATTAAATCACTTGTTCTGAGATAAAACTAAATTTGAACCTTACTAATATCTCAAAGTGAATAATATTTCGCAGAATTAAAGCATCAAGTGATTTTTTTTCTGGAAAGCAAATTAAAAAACCTTTTGTTAGTGAAATCAATTGAAAAAAGTGTATAAAGTGGTGCATTGAGCACAAAGATTGGACATATGAACAATGGACTAAAGTTGTCTGGAGCTATGAGTCTCTGTTTGTTTTGTATTAAAATGATCGATCTCACTGGAAATTAATTGGGGAAAAAATCAATCCTCAAACGTGCAAGGCAACTATTAAACATTACAAAAGTATTAATGTCTGGGGTTGTTTGAGTGCACACAAAGTTGGAAAACTTTAACGGGTGAATCGCATCATGGACCAGCATTTGTATCACAAAATCTTAGTTAATCAGCTTGGACAAGTTTAAAAGAAATTTTTGCTAATGGTGATTACATCTTTCAACAGGATAATTATCCTAAACATACAGCACGGTTGAATAAAAGATATCTAGAATCTAAATTGATACCAGTTATGTCTTAGCCAGCACAGTCTCCTGTTTTAAATCCAATAGAAAACCTTCGGTCTATTTTAGATAAAAAATTGCAAGATCGTAGGGCAACAAATGAAGATGATCTGTTCCAAATTCTTTTTGCAGGCTGGAATGCTTTTCCAAACAACTTATTAAAAAGACTTGTAGATAGTATGCCTTCTAGATGCGCGGAAGTCATAAGAAACAAAGGATGACAAATTACATACTAAAACAGCTTTAACCTCAAAAATACTTTACAAATCCAATTTTCTTTTTATTATATGTAATATACAACTATATTATAAACATTTTTATCAAAATTGGCCTTTATTACTTTATTATACGAGCTTTAGACATTTGTTGTTGTTGTTTTTATAAAAAAATTGAGTGTGGCAACCTGCTGTATATATATATATATATATATATGTAAATATATATATATATATATATATATATATATATATATATATATATATATATATATATATATATATATATATATGTTGTTTGTCGGGACTCATTTAAATATGCAAGTGATCAAGATGGAGGAAGACAACCTCGTACTAATCGTTCATATCTAGATTAACTATTATATAAAGACTTTATAATATATATAAATAAATCTTTTTTATTTTTTAGTTATTGTTTTTTTAAATATATTTTTTTTTTACTAATAGATAAAATCATTATTAATAAGTCATTTAAACAATTTATTTATTAATAAATCTGTAATAATAAATTTATTGTTTATTAATAAAATTATTTCAAACAGTTGTCAACTGTTGATATATCAATCAGTTAATAAGCAAGCAATCATTAATGACTAATTATTAACATTTAATAATTAACAAAATGTTTTTATTAGTCCGTTTTTAGTAAATCATCTTGTGATCTTAGTGTTGATGGTTATCTTCCTTTAATTCGTAAAGACTCTAATAGTCACATGCTTGGCCTGGGTATTTACATTTATAAGAATTCACCCATTTGTTGTGAAACTAGGTTTGAATCCACAGACTATTCTTTTATGTGCTTTCGTTTAGCACCACTTCACTCTATTGCCTTTCTCTTTGTTCCATATCCCTATCCTTCATCTCAAGACTGCATTCTTTTTGATGTTGTTTCTGATCATATTAACCAAGCCCTCTATCTTTATCCATCAGCCAATATCGTTGTTGTCGGTGACTTTAATGCTCATCACATTGAATGGCTCTAATGTCAGTGACTCTGCAGGCATTAAAGGCATCAAACAGTCAACTTTCAAGCTCACTTTCCAGACAACCCGAATCATTTACCTTCTCTACTCCACTCATGTCTTGTTTCTGATCCTAATCAGTGCTCAGTTTCTCCACATTCAACCTTTTCTCAGTTTCTCCACATTCAACCAACAGATTATTATGGACACATTTAATAATTTAGAAAACATCTTACAGATGTAGAAATTGGACGAATTATTGAAGTTGCTAACCAAGGAGAGTCTCTCAGAAGCATTGGAAAGCGTTTTAAACAAGAAAACTCAACTAGTAGTAGATTGGTAAAGAAATATAAACACACTGGTAAAACTAAAAGGGCTGTTGGATCTGGGAGAAAGCCAAAAACTTAAAAAAAGGAAGATCATTAAATCACTTGTTCTGAGATAAAACTAAATTTGAACCTTACTAATATCTCAAAGTGAATAATATTTCGCAGAATTAAAGCATCAAGTGATTTTTTTTCTGGAAAGCAAATTAAAAAACCTTTTGTTAGTAAAATCAATTGAAAAAAGTGTATAAAGTGATGCATTGAGCACAAAGATTGGACATATGAACAATGGACTAAAGTTGTCTGGAGCTATGAGTCTCTGTTTGTTTTGTATTAAAATGATCGATCTCACTGGAAATTAATTGGGGAAAAAATCAATCCTCAAACGTGCAAGGCAACTATTAAACATTACAAAAGTATTAATGTCTGGGGTTGTTTGAGTGCACACAAAGTTGGAAAACTTTAACGGGTGAATCGCATCATGGACCAGCATTTGTATCACAAAATCTTAGTTAATCAGCTTGGACAAGTTTAAAAGAAATTTTTGCTAATGGTGATTACATCTTTCAACAGGATAATTATCCTAAACATACAGCACGGTTGAATAAAAGATATCTAGAATCTAAATTGATACCAGTTATGTCTTAGCCAGCACAGTCTCCTGTTTTAAATCCAATAGAAAACCTTCGGTCTATTTTAGATAAAAAATTGCAAGATCGTAGGGCAACAAATGAAGATGATCTGTTCCAAATTCTTTTTGCAGGCTGGAATGCTTTTCCAAACAACTTATTAAAAAGACTTGTAGATAGTATGCCTTCTAGATGCGCGGAAGTCATAAGAAACAAAGGATGACAAATTACATACTAAAACAGCTTTAACCTCAAAAATACTTTACAAATCCAATTTTCTTTTTATTATATGTAATATACAACTATATAAAAGTGCTTCTGATCACAGTTTGATCTCTCTAAAACTAATTTCTCATTCTTCTTCATCATCTGAATCCCCTTATCATCATACCTCTTACAACTACTACCCTTAAGCTGACTGGGATTCTTTCCGTGATTTTTTTTGTGATGGCCCTTGGGTAGAAATCTTTCGTCTTCCTGAAAAATGTGCCTGCTGACAAATGTGCTTCTTACATAACTTCGTGGATTCAGGCTGGCTGAAACTTTAATTACCTCTTGACGGTTCCAGGTCATGCCTCACTCTTCTCTATAGTTTTCCTTACATTGTGCTGCTGCAATTCGAAACCATTACTTCCATTTCTATCAGCAAAACAATTCTCCAGAAAACAGAAGTCTGTTTATTTCTGCTAGGAACCATTGTAAAAAGGTCTAAAGCCAAAATCTAATGCTAAAGTCTGCTATTTTCAGGTCATGAAATCTCGTAAGTCATCACAAAAATTAGGCTCTTGTGACTTCTGGAGAATCTTTAATAGTATCAATAATTAGGACAAATCTGTAAATACACCTCTCTTGTATGGTTTAGACTTTGTCAACTCACCTAAAGACAAAGCTAAATTGTTTGCTAAGAACTTTTCATCAATATCATCTTAAGATTCCACTAGCTGCATTCTACCTGTTTTTGCCATCAAAAAGGTTGATCTATTGCTTAACATTTGTATCACTCCAGCTTCTGTATCTAAAGTGATTTCCTGCTTTGACTCTTCGGACAACATACCTGTTATAGTCTTGCAGAAGTGTTCTCCGGAGCTGTCGTCTATACTTTCAAAACTATTTACCAAGTGCTTATCAGAATCTTGTTTTCCAGCCTGCAGGAAAGCGGCATCTTTTATCCCAATTTTCAAAAATTCTGGAGAGCAATCTGATTCATCTAACTACCATCCCATTAGTCTTCTTCCTATCATAAGCAAGGTTTTTGAATCTTTAATTAACAAACACTTAATCTTGAATCTAATAACTTACTTTCTGATCATTAATATGGATTTCGAACTTCTTGTTCTAAAACTGATTTCCTAACAGTAATAACCGATAGGTTTTATTGTGAATTAGATAAAGATGGAGAGGTTAAGGCCACCGCTCTTGACATTTCTAAAGCTTTTGATAAAGCTTGGCATGCTGGTCTTCTCCATAAACTTTCTTCTTACGGTTTATTTGGTAACATCTTTAAGATTATTGAACCCTTCCTTTCTAATCGTAGTATAAAAGTTGTCCTTGATGGGCAGCACTCTTCTTTTTATTCTATAACCTCAGGGGTTCTTCAAAGTTTAATCTTTGGCCCTATATTCTTTTTAATTTACATTAAAGATCTTCCAGATATTCTCACATCTGTGGTGGCATTTTTTGCTTATGATATTTTTTTCAGCTAATCTTTATCGCAATAGTTTAGATCTTTCTATATTTATGAACGGTAATGTACTCGATGAGTCATCTACCCTTCATCTTCTACCATATATCAAATGTGTTGCAAAGTTAGCATCTGGTGATGTTGTATTTCTTTATCGAGCTTGACACTTTCTTACTCCGGATTCTATTCTCTATATCTATAAATCTCAAATCCGGCCTTGTATGGAATACTGTTGCCATATCTGGGGCGGATTTTTTTTCTGTGACTGTTCTTAAGTGCTCCAAAAACTCTTATTCCTCTAGTTTTTTCCTAGAACATTAATTCTTTAGAATTCGCTTCCTTCATCTTGCTTTCCTGATTCATATAATTTGCAATCTTTTAAGTTGTCTGTCAACTGTTTTCTTGTTCTACAAACCTCATCCTTTCTCTTCCAGTAACTTTTAACTCTAATTAGTGGTTGCTTGCAGCCTTGTTGGAAGCAAAGATGTTTAAAAAAAAAATCTATTGTCTATTGTTAAGATATGATCTTATTGTCAATAAATAAAATGTTTTTAATTTAGTAAATTTTAATCATATGAAATTTACTTTATTGATTATTAGCTAAATGTTTTTGAAAAAACATTTTTTTAAGCATATATTTGTCTATAATGAAAATGAGTATATTTTACTTTTAAGCATTGTGAAGGGCTTAAAAGCAAATAGCTTCAGCATTTTTCTAAACGATATATAGATTTTTATTAGTTCATTACATTTTTAAGAATATAAAAAAAGTATAACTAAAAGGTAAAGAGACTGTATTAAAAACAAGTTTAGAAATGGTGTGAAACATGCTTACCATGACCTGTATCCCAGTTCGAGACAGCTAGTTATACATTATTATGTTATTCATTAAATATTATATATTAGCTGATCTGACCTGTAAAAATACGGGTCTTTGTAACTCTATTCCACACTGAACTTTTCTATACTTTTTCCTTATATTTTCCGGATCCATAAATTAAATGGGTCAAATCTACCATTTCTAAACTTATCTATTCCACACCGACCTTAACTATACCTATTATTTGTTTACTTCAATATTTTTATGTAATATTATTAATATTCATTTTAAAAAATTGCTTCAAGAGCAAAAGTTAACATGCGCACCTTTTCAGCATTCCTAGAGCTTATAAGAGATTAATAATTAGATTCATTTTTCTCCTAAACATATATCATTGATAGCCCAGTGGTTTAGTGTGCTGTCATCAGTGTCATTTTAAGAGATTAAAGACATCCCTCTATAAATTTGGAAAACTTTTCATTCTTTCTGTATTTATAACAATATTTATATAAAAAATTTTATATAGTAAAATGGTAGTTTAATACTATTATACAATAACAATATTATTTTATAACTAAGGAATGGCCCACAACGCTAAATTTATTTTTTAAAAAGTAGAAAGGATCTTCAGTTCATTAAGATGATAATTTTCATTGAACTTAATGAGCTATATAGATTTTTTATTTAACATACA